ATGGGTATGACCCTCTCTTCTCATTACCCTAACACGCATCCCTCCACCCCACCAGATTGCATTTCCACTACCCCCCAATCAACCCCCTCCCACTCGTCATCATCATATTACTCAAAAGCTCCACCTGACTCTTCAGCGCAGCCATCTCCGTAGTCTTATCCTTGATCTCCTTCGCCCTCTCTGCCAACTCCGTAGTCTTCTCTTTGACCTGCTTCGTCCGTTCCGTCAACATGCGTCTTAGCTCTGCATTCTCCCGCCTCAACTGGTCGACCTCTATATCGACGGCCTCGGGAGGATTCGGTGGTGGTGGACCGCGACTATCGAGCAAAGGATCGATGCGTGAGTCTTTTCGGACGAGTGGGAAGGGCGCGGGCGGTTTGAGGGTGTGGGAGGTGGGGTGGTGGTATGTGGTTTGTGGGTGTGGAGCGGGTCGTTGAGTCGGTTGGATCGTGCTGGTGTCAGCGCTGAGGTGTGCGGTATCGTGGATATCGGCTTCGGCTTCACCCTCAGCCTCGTCGTCTGAGCTATTGAGACCGTCGCCGACTTGTTGGCCTGCTGCTTTCCGGGCTCTCTTGATCTGCGCTCGTATGTTGTAAACGTCACGCTTAAAGATGTGTATACCCGGTAGTCTTGCTTGTAGCACTTCGACTGTTCTTCCAACCCCTCGGTCGCGTCCCTGATTGGGTTCGCCCTTTCGTAGCATCTCTTGTTCCACGATTCTCCACACCAGACCGCCACGCTCGAGACTGTGTTGTGGCTTCTTCGGTGCCTGTGTAGATGCGCTGATCGTGTCCTCGTCGCCGTCGGCTTCCGCGTCCACGTCCTCGAGGGTTTCCTGATTTTGCGTCAGGCTCGACTTGGCGAGTTCCTCCTTCGCTGTGACGCCTCCAACCCCGATGCGTCCTCCTACTACACCCCACGTCCTCTTCCGTTGTACAGCCCATCCAGCACTCTCGCGCCCGGGGTGGTTGTGTTGTGGTTCGCCGACGCGCAGTAGCCACGTTCCGTCATCCTGTTTCTTGCCCTCGATCCACATCTTGCATCCTGTCTTATAGCTGACCCTGTTCTTCCTGACCCTCGTCTCGGCCGTAAGTTTGTGGGTATTCTTCGGCTGGCCATAGCAGACGCAGGCTAATTTGATGCGCGACCGGTTCTTAGCTGTCGTATTGATAGATAGCGCGTATCCGTTTTCCGCAGCGTGCGACTGCGCGTAATCGTGGAGGGATTGCCACGAAGGGTGTATCGAGTTGGAAGGCGGGAGCATGGCGAACTGACGGTCGGACGCGTCATTCTCTAGGGGTGCTTGTGCGGAGTTGTGCTGGATGCCGATGTAGGATGCCTCGGACGTAGGGCTATGGATCCTATAGTCGTGATGTTGGCCGGCTAAGCCATGCTGGAAGCTCTCGCGCTTTCCAGACGTGTCGTCTGGGGAGTAACTGTTATCGTGCTGATGCCCGTGGTCGTTCATACTGGCAGCATGCTGGGCGTTGGCGTTGGTAGGCTCGCAATAGGCTGCCATGTTGCCGTTGCGGACTGCGACATGATGGTGCGACGCGGCATAGGCATCGTAGGGTGGCTGTTGGTTCGCGATGGCGTTACCGTGATTGTACGTGGGGACTTGGTCGAAGTTGTGATGGCGGGCGAAGGTGGCTGCCATGGTTGGTTTGATATGGAGCGCTCTCGCCATGTTCCGGATTACTTCAGCCACGGCCGTTTGTCGCTGTTGGAGAGATCCGTCAGGTCTGCGCACATGGCGATTATCTCGAGAATATGAGCTATGCGACTTTGGTCAATGCTGCCATATTTGGTGGAGAGGTCCCAGGCTCAGACCTATTCGTCGCTGGTACGTCGCTCTCTGCGCTTCAGCCGATTGGCTGCTCGGAACTCGAGCATCAATGTTGCCCTCACAACCAAGCAAAGCAAAACGCGTCAGAACATCATCCCACTATCATTTTGACTACACCAGACGAGGCGTGCGACGGATGCGCCCATTGCCTATTTAATATACCCAATGAAGACCGCAGTAGCCTTACTCCCTTAAGGTGACATCTACCCACATGTCCTTGATCTCCCATAACCCAAGCGAGTTGAACGTCTTCCATGGTTCCAGCGGGTTGGTCAACGACAGATCAAAGTGCCTCAACAACTCAAAGATGCACTTGTGTATCTCAATCAACGCGATGTTGCGTCCCAGGCAAAGCCATCGACCGTACCCAAATATCATATCGTTAGTTTTCGTCATTCTGGTTAGGCGGTCTTTCGCCTCCTCGTCGCTTGTATCAATCAGCCAGCGTTCAGGACGGAAGGTACCACAGTCCTCGCCGTAGAGATCGCGGTTGTTGCGGTGCATCGTCCAGGCTGAGTAGCCGACCAAGGTGCCGCCGGGGATGTGATACTCCTTGTCGTCGATGGTTACGACGTCCCCTTCATCTGGAGTGACTCTTGAGAAGATGTTGGCGACTGGTGGATGTATCTGCAGGGTGTAGTGTTAGCGCATAATGCCCCAGAGATCCATGTTCTTTCCGGAAAGGCCAAGACTCACTCGCATTCCTTCACGGACGACAGCGCCTAAATACGGCAGGCGGCGCACTTCTGCATCTGAGATGATACCAGGAGATGCAGGAGCCGTGCCGTTGCTGACAGCTTCATCTATCTCGGATTGCAACTTCGCATACACGCGCGGATGGCTCATGACATAGAGCAAAATAGTCCTAATGGCAGCAGCCGTAGTGTCAGATCCAGCGAGAATCTGCTCGAAGACTTCCTGGACTAAGCACGGTGGGTCAGTCGACCTCTGGTATCATGGGTTCCAACACTCATGTCACTTACAAAGATCGTTTCCAGAGAGACCATGGCGGACGAATGATGCAAACATATCAGACTTGTCTTCAGTTGACTTCAACATCCTGGAGTCGACTACCTTTCGTGCTTGAGCCATCATGTTACCGAACCCACTGGCATCCTTCTCTGATGGACTGATGGCAGGGCCGATGATAGGCGTGTCTCTGAGCCAGGCTATACCCATTGCGAAGGCCGTGTTTCCAATCTTGAGACCTTCCTCGCTCGACCTCAGGTAGTCTTTGAGATCCTTGTCGGCATTCAAATCACCGAATGCCTCTCCCAAACCTATATGACTGATGACGTCCAACGTAAAAAAGGGGATCTTCTGGGCTAGATCCATGGCCTGGGATGGCTTCGTTGACGCTTTTGAGGCCGCATACTTGCGCACCAAAGTCACAAGTTCTTTTACATGGAGGTCTATTGAAGGCTCTAATGTCGGGTTCTCTTTACCAGAGTACTGCAATATGTTAGTAAGTGCAGATCGGCCACGCAGCTGCTCAAATTTCCACTAGAGGTGCGCAACCTCATCATCCAGATTGTGTATCCACGTACCCCGGCTGTCATCTTCTTCCGTCTGGCATCATGGCTATCGTTGTCGCAATCTGTAAAGACATTGTCTTTCCCCGTCTCAAATCGAGCACTATGGTAGTACCATGATGATCGCTTATACGGTGAGCGCACTGCATTGATCCGTGCCCAGTATTCTGGGTCTGATGTTATGAGGTGGTTCGGTGCAATCCTGGCAATCGGCCCTTATGAGGAGTATCAGTATAAGGCCACCAGATCGCGCAGCACTTTTGCCTTCCTGACACGTACCGTACTTCTCGCAAACCTCGCCGTAGTACCTAGGAGATTGGCCACCGATAACAGCTCTGGAATGCCACAGCCAAGAGAATCCCGTCGTCCTGGGTCCGGCGAAATGTCTCAGACGCAAGTACTGTCGTATGCGGCCGATAGCGAAGAACGCCACAGCGACGAATGCGATTGCGTACAGGCGCTGTGAGACGCTGTCAAGCAATGACTCGGGCGGAACAGACTCCATGGCTTGCCTGAAGTGATGTCAGAGCGCAAGGATTTGAAGTTGCAAATGATGAATGGGAGTTCTTCCCATCAGTGGGGCAACCCTTCGTGAAAGCGCGGGCGCCGTTGTGCGCTACAGAAACTAGCGGAGAGCGTTGCTGCAAGCTCCTATTGAACCATTGTTACTGGCCCTGATCGGTCAAGCACCAATTTGGAGGATTGGAGAAGATGCGGAGCTCGCAGCTGCATGGTGACCAAGCCATGTGTTGTCAAAACCTACAGTGCGTGTGCCCCACCAACGAGCAACGTTTGACGGAAGTCATGGCGACATCTGGAACCAAGTCCAATCCCTCACAGAGGATAGCGGGAACCGGAGTGGTTTGCAAGCGCCGCGGCACGTCAAGACTGCTTGCGCTAGCGTCGTGTTGTTGATTGTCAAGGTTCCCCAGCTGAGCGATTGAGGCACGCAACAAGCTGATAGGGCAAGTTAGCACAGCAGCAATGCAGCGTCAAGTGACTCAAGTCCCATCTTACACGAAGCAGTAACCGACTCTTGATGTTTTCGCAATCAAATCTCGTCCGATCGCGAAACTTACTCCAGCGAATCATTCGGTGGAGAACACTCCGGCCGAAAACAGGCTACGATGCGTCGTGTCGAGCCTGCAGGAAGCTCCCGCGATCTCGGTCCACAACCACGTTTTTGCCCTTGTATGCACGTTGGTGTGAAGCACTTCGGACCTCAGCGCCAGTTTGTTCTAGCCCTGTGGAGAGACGCAGCCTTGATCATGTTACCGTCTGGGCAAGGTCTTCGTAACGGCACCTACCGTTATTAATCATCTCTCCCTTCTGGTAGGGTCTATCTTTGAATTTTTCCGTACCTTTTCCGCATCTGAAGTCATTCGAGACCCATCAAACGACGTCATGGTGGTTTTTGTATACTCGCTTATCTACTTGCCCCATTTCTTTCCGTGCCGTTGCTGTACGATTGAGGCACAGTCGCGGCTATTGTCTCTGGCCTTGATAGCCGCGCTAATAGTCGCTCGAAGAACTTTTGAAACATACAAAACTTCCAAGGTTGTGCCGACCTGTTTGCCATTGGCGGAGTTGCTCAGCTTACACGGTGTGACACAATCTCTACTATGGCAGATCTTGGAAAAGGGAAAGAGAAGGCAAGTGAGGACGAGTCAGCAACTGCACCATCAGATAATCCAATTGCTGGAGATGGCTCCGCGAACGTTGCGCCACCAAATGCTGGAACTTCATCACCACTAAAGGAGATTACTGTATCATCTGACGCACCAGAAGAGGCGACCACCTCACCAGATCCAGCAGAAGCATCTGCTAGTCAAGCATTCCTAACGGGGCTTCCCTCAGAAACAGTGGAAGGTCCTGCACCAACAGCGGAAGTTGTCAATCCACTTGTGTTAGTTGTAAGTAATCCAAAGTTTCCTTCACAGAGTTTGATCATTCAGACATGATGCGCCGCGGAACAAACGTCGCAACTCAGTATTTCTCAAGGAACTTCTAACATCAGCAGGACAGTACAGACGCCGACTCGGCTCTAGGCGACGATGACGCTGCAAGCGACACAACGTCCATCGCGTCAACCATACATAAAGGTCGTTTCGAAAACGGCCGCCGTTACCACAAGTACCGTGAGGGCGAAAATGATTACTGGGGTCCCAACGATGAGATCCAGAATGATCAACTCGACATTGCGCATCATATGTTTCTGATCATGTTGAACCAGAAGCTGCATCTGGCACCTATCAAAGAGCCAAAGAAGGTGTTGGATCTTGGGTGCGGAACAGGGATTTGGTGTATGGACATGGCCGACGGTATGTCTCTTACTCCATCTCTTGAATGCCATAACTAACTTATTACCCAGAGTACCCCGGCGCTGAGATCCTAGGCGTAGACCTCTCTCCCATCCAACCACAATTCACACCTCCCAACTGCAAATTCGAAATCGACGACGTGACCCTCCCATGGACATACACCCAGCCCTTCGACTTCATCAACATCCGCTCATTATACGGCTCCATCGGTGATTGGCCAGCACTCTACGCACAAGTTTACAACAACCTCGAGCCAGGCGGTTACCTCCACGAAATGGAAATGAGCATCCAGTTCAAATCCGACGACGGCACGTTGACCAAAGAACACGTTTTGTCTCAGTGGAGTGATCTCTTCCATGAAGCAAGCGAGCGCTTCGGGAAGTCGTTCTACGAGGTTTGGAACTTGTCGACGTATATCCGTAATGCGGGGTTCAAAGATGTCGAAGAGCGGGTGTACAAGGTGCCTGTCAATGGGTGGCCGGCTGATCCACATATGAAAGAGTTGGGGAGGTGGAATTTACTGCACATCACACAGGGAGCGGAGGGCTGGGGGCTGTATCTGCTGACGAAGGTCATGGGCTGGACGGTCGACGAGGCCCAGATTTTCTTTGCTAAGTTCAGGTCGGGGGTGAAGGAGAGGAAGGTCCATGCGTACTTCGAGGTTGTGGTAATTCATGCGAGAAAACCTTGAGAGGGGGAATCGATGACAGTGCATATTGGATCAGTGCTCTTATGCGTCATGAAGAGTCCGATATATAGTGCAAAACATCGGTATTGCAAACTGAAACGATAGCGTCATGATGCGTCGTTGATTAAAGTATTACTTAAAGGCAGGGTATACGCATAGGGAATATCAATCTGAACCAAATACCTCAGCTTCATCTCCGCTCCTCCACGGAGTCTACTTGCGATCAGGAGGTGGAGTGGCTGTGCGGGGTACCTCTCCCGATTTTGGATCGGGAAGATGCGACACACTCGGGAGATCAGCTACCGACGCTGACTGTTCTTCTTCCTTCTCTTTGTTGTCTTTGATGATGAGTGGCTCTTGAGGTGGAGAAGCAGGCGTGATCTTCCCGCTGTCCCTAGTCTTCGCCTTTGACTGATCACCAAAGATGGAGTCGGTTTCCTCGTTGATGGAGGAGGCGCTGCTGATACGTCCAGCTTGGCCGTCTTCAGCAGCGAGGCGCTCCTTCTCGAGACGGGTTTCGCGACCGCGCTTGTGGCAGTACCAGAATACGAATAGCAGTACTACATAGGGTTAGTTTGGTTGCGATGCGATATGGACGTGATACGTACCAAATACTGCCAAACTCATGATGACATTGGTTCCAGTTGCCAGAGCAGGGAATCTGAACTTCAGGAAGTTCACAATGCTCCTCAGCGCCGTCGCAACAGCACCTTGGGCAGACACCAGTGACTTCAGACTCGGTACTTTTGGCACTTGGGGAAGCATAGATCTCTTTCCTTTGGGCTTACTGGAAGCCTGTGCATCGAACCCTGGCTTCTCGGACGACGCAGCCATAAGCTCTGGGCCGAGAGTGGCTGTGAGCTTGGCAGGCAAGCTCTTGACCAGGTTCTGCAGGAAAGGCGGTAGGTTGCCGTACATCTTCTTGAGTTGGTTGTCGTAATCTGTAAACAACTTCTCGAGGTCGTTGTAGGCTGTCGGTACCCCATTTATGAGATCTTTTAGAACCTGCGTGAACTTGTTGAGAAGCTCCTCTGACTCTTTGCTGAAGCTGAAGACGCGGTTGTTGACAGCTGAGAGGTTGAGCTGATCCAAAATATCCGTCAACTCCTTGTCCTCCTTCTGCGCATCGGTAAGCTCGGCAGCCTTGGCGGATTCGGCGGCAGCGAGTAGGTCGTCTGCGAATTGGGTCCTGTCCTTCTCCGTGACTACGATCTTCTTGTCTTTCGAGGCCTTCTCCCCGTCCTTCTTGGCGAACTTGGGCAGCTGGAAGTAGGACATGACACTCTTCTTCCTACCCAGTCCACCCTCAGCAGCCTTCCCTTTGCCCTTGTCGCTAGCGTCAGCAGTGGTCTCGGGTGGACTCATGGGGAGCGGCACTTTGTCTGCATTGTCCATGAGGGCTGTTTGCGCATCCCTGCCGACCTTCTTCTCGCCATTGTCGTCGACTATTTCGGTACGCTGAGGGAGGGGTGGGGGCGTGCCTTCGGGCTCGGCGGCGATGGCGGCAAGTCGCTCAAGGAACTGCTGGTCTTCGGCGTCAAGGACAGGCTCGCTTCCTACTTCTTCGCTGGCGTTGGTGATAGCTGGTGCTGGTGGAGAGGGTACGGGGCCGCTGGGGCCAGCAGCGGGTTCTTCGATCTTTGGGACGGCAGCATCCTCGACTTTCGGTACGGCGGATTCCGAGAGTTTGGGAGGGTCTTCGATGGGAGGGGCACCGGGTTTCTGTTTTGACTGAGGGAACAGCTGCTTTGACTGGCGGCGCACTTTCTCCAGATAGGATGCCATATTAGATGTGCGCGTCTGCCTTGGGTGGTGGCAGGTATGGATGTGGTGAGAGACGCGTCAGAGGATCGGGCGTTTGTAGGGTATATGTCGCACTCTAGATTTGACGTGGAATGCTTGGGGGCGATCTTGCAGGCTCGGCGTCGCTCGCTATGTCGTCGTCGGCGCCGTAGAGGCCCTGATTTGATGTCCCGCGTTTACACGTGCTACGTCATGGGCAGGGGTGTCGATCTAGAGCTCGCGCCACGCCGTGAGGGGCGACTAGCGCGACTCCTGACTTCTCACACTGCGACGCGTCAAACCTCGCCCCGACAGCACGAGATCGGAAAGATTCTGGAACACGTCAATTCCTGGTAGGATCTGGACGCAAACTCTCGGCAACCCTCTTCACAGCTTCAGTCGCTGATATCCCGATATCCTCTGCAAAATTAGCCTTCGACGAATCCGCCACTGCAAACAATCGCTATGCATGCCTAAGCATTGCGCTCGGAAAGGTCTACCTGGATTTGGAAGACGTTGAATACGGCTCGTAACTTTCCGCTAATATGCAGTGGCACTTCTTCCGCCTTGGCTTTCATATGTTGATGCTGTAGATAAGTTTACCACCGACCTACTTTTCGTCCACCGATCAGCCAAATCCGATAGGTGTTTAAGAATTACAGTACAATGACATATCGTTCACGCGCCGATCATTCCTGACTTCGAGGTTCCTTCGGAAGATACGCTTGTTTCCGATCGATACGTGATTTCGCCTGCTTGTCGAATATCTGAATATCAGGAGACCGGTCACCCCAGCATATAGCACAGCTCCCAAATCAAGCGACAACGTTAGTCACGCAGCCTCAATGAGCGATATTGGGTAAACTTCATCGATGTTGTCGCGGTTATTCACATGTTTTGGTTTGCCTCCTGATTACTCTCAAGCTGACCAAATCCAAGCATTCAAGGAGAGCACTTCCATTAGTAACGGGGACCTACACCTCATTCATGTCTTAGGTATCAGATATCATATCTCAAAGCTGTATTCTCACCACCGTCCCTCTCTCTTACATATAGGTAGCCCGGAGGACTCGCAATCACGTGCTTTCGTTGACCACGTCTACCGCCCACACTCCTCCCCACACCCACTATATAAGCAGTATATCACTTCTTTCCTCCATCTTTCCTCCACCATCTTGATCGCCCCCAATAACCTTGAAGTAAGTCAATACATTTCTCGTCTGCGCGAATTATCTGCTTTGGGCTCACTGAAGCCTCCGGCCGCACACCGTGCGCAATCGGACTACCCACCTTTACCTTTGGCGCCTACAGTGGGCTAACGCGTTTGTTCTTTTGCAGACCCGACAGACTACCCCGCGGTGCTTCAGTACACCGAAACGATAAAGCACGTCACGCAATCAATCACTGTGTCGCGCTTCACAGTAGCGACACTACACATATCACCACCGTACTCATCACTGTAGTCCGCAACATGGCTAATGACGCTTTCAATTTCTACGGTAAGTACTGTCATGATTGTCCTGTCTGCGCATGTTCTAACAAGAAACCATAGGCGACGAGTCAGACGACGCGAAGCCCGTTCAGAACAACTTGGACGACTTGAACGACGCAGTCGGCAGTGCTAGTGGTGAGGACGACGACTACATCGAGGACGCTGCTCAAGCAGCTGACGATGTAAGTATACAACTTGCTCATTCTGATTTCGCTAACTTGGAATAGTCCGATGATGGCGACTTCAAGCTCGACGGCTATGAAGATCTTGGTATTCCAGAAGAAGAGGTCGAGGACGAGGTAGATGACTACGATCCCGAGTACGACGACAACATGACCGGTCAGAAGCGCAAGCGCGTTCGAACCAATAACGCCTCCAAGACCAAGGGTCTTCAGCGATCCGTCATTGGTGTCCCAACTGGCGACGCTGAGGCTTTCATATTGGATGAAGACAACAGCTTCCTCTACAGCAAGCCTTCGCGCAAGCCCGGTACCTTTGGCCGTGTTGACCGTCGTAAGGGCGAGAGTCTCCCAGCTTATCACAAGCGTGTCACTCATGAGTTGGACTCTGATGACGAACTCATGATGACGATGCGTGAGAAGGGCTTCAGTGATCGCCAGATCGCCGACAAACTCGCCAAGGATGGCCGTGTTCGCTACGACCAGAAGTCCATCTCCACGCGTATCATGCGCATCCGCCTTGCTCAGTGTGAGAACGTCGACTTCCTTCTGAAGGAGGGATACAAGGAGTGGGAATACGCTGATGTAAGTACCTGGTCAAGTGACACCCCCTTTTTGATTTGGCTAATATGAACTTTTAGGATGAACTTCTGGTTCAGTCTTACGCTCTTGCCGACATCGAGGTCAACTATGAGTTGGAGCGCATTCGCGCCTGGCGCTTCCGCAAAGTCTCCGATTACATGCGTCGCCTGAACAAGAACGCACTCTTCTCTGCCAAGGCCTGCCGTAACCGTTACAATGAACTTGTCGAAGGCACAGCCCGCATTCCTACCGATATGGATGACGATCCCGACGCCCGCCGTATGGATATGGAAGAGTACCGCATGATGCGTGAGAAGACCCGTATCAAGGAGCAGGCCGACAAGGACGCCCTGGAAGCTGCCGAGGCTAAGATCAAGAACGATGCCAGGGTGCTCAACGCTCAGAAGGCAGAGGAGATTGCAGAGAAGCGCCAAGCCAAAGAGCAAGCAAAGGCTCATCGTGCCATGACCCGTGCCGCCCAAGCCCAAATCCGCCTTGCCCGAGCCAACGCGAATAGGATCTCGAAGACTCAGCGCAACACCCAGATCAAGACCAAGGGCAAAGCCCCGGAAACAAAGAAGAACGAGGACGCCTCTCCGGCCCCGACCAAGACCAAGACCACGACCAAGAAAGTGGACCCCAACTACACCGATCCGCGTTCTTACCTCTCCTTCCTTGATCTGAAGAAGATGTGTGAGAATCGTGGTATTGATCTTCCGCGCAGGGTGGACAAGGACACTCTGCTGCAGGCTATAGTTGATGCTGATGACGAGTACAACCAGAGCGAACTCAAGAAGATGTGTCGCTCCAAGGGCTTGAATGCCAACACCAGTAAGCTGGTGATGAAACAATCGCTGGCGTTGGCTTCGGCAAAGGCTTGTGACTCGTACGATGCAGGGGTTGCCGCTGCCAATGGCACTGCCATTACTACTGTTGAGAACGACGGTGACGATGAGATGGACATGGAGGAGGAGTAGGTGGGGGCGAGGCGATTTCACGGTATTGAATGTGGAGGAAGGTGGGACTAAAAGTGATTTGACTCACGTCACGGTGGAATATGCCTGCAGTGCCTGAGCACAGTGGATGGGATGTATCCCTCAGGGTGGGATGAAAAGTGGGAGTCCGCGGCTAGATAAAGATACTTATTCTCCAAGCAATGGGATCATCATGGAACGAACTCTTTCGTAAGAATTAGACTATGTGAACATCGTGAAACCTCTACCAACACTCCCACTTCTGACCACCCATAGCCACCAGCCGATTGAACAACTCGTCTCTCAACGGAAGCGCCATTATGCGGTATTCGTTGAACTGCCTGTCAGTAATGATCAATCCATCAGCGACCTCCCGTCCCATAGCCCAACCAACAACCAACTTCGCCTTCCAGCCAAAGCCACCGACCTTCTTCATCTCCATGATTTCTCCAACAGGTAAACTCCAGGACGGGTGCAGGTCCTCTCTATCTGCGCTACCAATCTTCTCGATAGTCTTGTCTGTAGAAAAGGCGATAGATGGAATCGTGGACTTGGTAGCGATGTACACATGTCCTTTCTTACCATCATGTCGGGCTTTGAACTCGACTGGACCGGATGTGAGATCAATTCCCCTGCGTGGTACAGCACCCAGTCTGTTCTTGGCATGTGTGGAGCCGGCGGCAGCTTTGACTTTGTCAGCTGTCATGGTGGTCTCGACGCCGCCCTTCACGGTACCGCGGAAGAAGTTGAGAATCTTAGTTCCCTTCTTTCCGTGCTTGCTGTCTTTGGCTTGGTCGATATCTTCGCCGCCGGTTTCGTGCGCAGTAGTAGGGTCGTGGGCCATAGCTTCATCGAGTTCTTCTTGTGTTGCGTTGAGTGGCCAGTCGGCACCTGTGGCGCGCAACTCTTCCTCGTTGATATCGACGGGCTTCTCTTCTGGTGCTTGCGCTACGTGAGGCGGCGGTGGCAAAGGGGCTTTATTTGCTTCGCCGAGTCTAAGAAGAGTAACGGTGAGTTGGGCGTTGGTAGGTACACCCTTGAGTAGCGTATTACGGAGCTCGAGCAGCTTTTGCCAGTTGGGAAACTTCTTGTTAAGAAGCGCTAGTCCGCGCTGTATGACGGGGTCGCCGAAGAAGCCAAAGCCGGCGCCGAAAGTGACACCCTTCATGAACATGTACGATGTCACAAACAGTGAGACGAGAACAAGCGGTGCTACTACGACTGCAAGTCGAAGATGAGACCTGTTCTTCGGGAATGGCGGGGTTGGTTCAAGCATACTGTAATTATGTCAGTAATTCCAGGTAAACGCTGATCGACGATTGCTTACTTCGCGAACCGCTCCCAGGTGTCTGTGACATCTGCGATACCGTGCATAATAGGCCTCATTTTCGTCCACATGGCAGTCTCCATGGGAACTTTAGTCTTGTCGTGGTGCTTGCTGGGCTTGACACCAGCAGCCTGATCCCTTGCATCTGCAGCACCGATGGCGAGCCTAGTAGGGTCCGGTACACTGCTGTCAGGAGAGTCTTCATCTGGAGGCTCTCCCTGTGGGTGCTTGCCAGTCGCGCTCGATAGCGCTATCGACGCAAAGCCGTTGACGAAATTCGAGGCCTCTTGCTCAACAGCCTCACCCTTGTGATTTTCAGGTGCTCCAGTAGCACTGTCTGTACTGCCTAGAGTTCCAGACTTTGGCTTCTGTACACCTCCCGTAGAGCTTACAAGAGCGATAGGTGCTGGTGGGAACATGGCACCGCGAGCCGGGGGGTAGACAATGAGCGTAACCAAAGTCACCGTTATCAAGGGCACGATCATGTCGAAAATCCAGGCGGCAAAGTATGCGGAGCAGAACCATGCAGTGCGACGCGTCTCTCTCCATGAGCGGATGCGAACGATGTGCTTGCCGAATCCGATTAGACCGATGCCCTATGCGCGGTTAAATTAAGCGCGTTCGTCACTCGCTCTTCAAATACTTACTATAGTCATATATAAGCGTTCGATATTGGCACGAAGCTTGTCTGGTGAGAACTCTTCCTCATCCGCGATGTTCATGTCCAAGCCCCCAGGAGGCGCTGTTGGAATCTCTTTGACATGGTACATTTGCTACTCACAGTCAGTACCCGATTGTAAGGTTGTCGTTAAACTCTGCCTTACCTTGTTGAAACGTCGGACCAACAGCCACAGGTCCTCGTTACCCAGACCCCCGACGAGCGGCTTCGCGACGAGTTCCTTTGGCTCATTCCATCCAAGGTCCACCACTTCATCTCCGTGAGCTATCTGCGCAGCACCCTTCTCTTCCGGAGGCGCTGACTTAGCAGCCTCTAGAGCTAGCGCATGGCTCTCCGTAGGCGCATTCCGTAGCGTGGTAGACTTCCCCTCATGTTCTGTAGGGTCCGTATCCGGGATAGGCAGGAGGTCCTTGTAGACCACACCTCCGGTCGACATGTTGACGTTCAGTATTAGGCGTCAGATGTGCGTAGGTGTGAATGTATCGAGGTCAAAGGGTAAAGAGTGGAGGGTAGCCTTGCAATGTATTGGCCTTCATACAGCAAGAAAGACGCGTAGGGCCGCGATTGCCCTCTACGTCATGTACGCACTAACGACGGCAAGCCACATGCATCAGTGGCGATCGAAAGCCGCGGGACGCTAGATTGGAGCCTTACCTTCAACACCGTTGAGGCTCGTAACCGTGCGCTAAATGCTAGCAATCAAGTATTCATCGTGCCTCTACATGCACCTCATCGCGTTGTCTTGATGCTTTCCCAAAGTCTGGGTGAACGTGTGGAGCTGACAGGATCTATGGTTTCCAGGACCGCGGAGAGCGATCATGATCGCCAAACCCCACCACATCTGGCCTCCCGTGTTTTCCCTGCTTCGATCCTTTCCAAATCAGGTGCGCCATGCCTTTCCAGGCCCAAGGCATGCCAAAAAGGTGGCTCGAAGCAATTTTGCGATGACTGGAAAGAAGTGCCGTATTGCGCGCCAACAGAGGTGTGGGCGTGTGACGTCATCGATCGCTTTGCTGCACGCAGTGGAGCAGCACGAGCGGACGCATAGCAGAAATAGCTTTCACTGTCTGTACCACATGGTTTGTGTGTAATAGCTAATGCTTTGAAATTGATTCATCATTTCCTTGTTCAGGGCCAGAAGTGATCATCCAAGAGCACCACGAGAGAGACACTGCACATGACCCGTGATCGGAGAGTGGTTAAAGAAGCGAGGCATATGACTAACGGCCGCGCTAGATGTCTATAACTACGTGACAGCGAACATTAATGTCTGGTGGTGGGAAGCGACACTCATGCGCAACATTATCGATTATGATTTCCTAAACGTGTTTATCAGGCCTTGCTCGTACGTTACCGTGGTCGAAACCATGATGCCATCATGCTTCGCTCTCAATTCCTCCTGGCTACTATGTGCGCCAGCCCAGTGTAACTCCGCCAATTCCTGCTCAAAGACTGGCTTTGAAGGCCTGTTGTTTCCACTAGGTCGGAGCTCCAATCTACTCCCCCTGCTTCTGTCCACGAAGCCATCAGTCTGTCTTCGGTAGCCGCGCGAATCGTAAGAGGTATTGAAGCGGAAAGCATTGAGAAGAACGGCGAATGCGGGGCAGCAGCCAATGATGACAGCTGGAAAACGATTAGTGAGTGTATGTAATGGTTTTGGAGTCTCGACATACCAATGGAACACTCCACCATGCCCCAGATAGCGAGCCAAGTGGGATCAAGTGGTTGGCCTGCAGCCTCGGGCTTTGATGCGTTGATCGCAACTTGAGTGACTCGGAGACAGGCGAAGAAGATACAAACGACACCCGTTGCGAAGAGACACAAGATTGATATCTTCTTGCTTCGTGGCATTTGGAGATTCCAGGTGAGCCATGTTGGAAGTGCCATAACTGTGTGAGTCGACAGTCAGTAGGTAGAGTAGAGTTGTTTAGGCGCTACATGACATACTCATCATGTTTGTTGAAGTATCTGCGGCAAAGGAGTAGTACAGGCTGACGAGCTGGGTATGGTGCGGACCTTCGCCAGTCTAGAGCAAGATGTGGTTAGTAGGCAGCCCAGTAAGTATCGTGTGCACAACAAGGACTTACGCATCCTCCTGTCCAGAAGCCCGGTATAGTACCGCATGACTGAAAGTAGAAAACGTAATTGCCAGCAAAAGTCTGTCTCCAACGTCAGCCGTCGTCCAAGTGAGTGCTACCAAAGTCTGCACAACTGTGGTATCTTACCACTAAGCAGATTCCAGCTATGCACCACCACACAAAGGTCCAGCGCGGAGATATGCCATTCAATAATCTCCGATAAAGCAGCAGCAAAGATAGTTTGATAGACCACAGCACTGCCCAAAACATGCAGAAGGCAATGAACACCATCTTCGCCATCATCATGCTATCATGCCGCAAGTCTGGATAAGGCGGAATTTCTCGATTCGAGACGGCATATACTCTCTGCATATAGGGAGATAATGCAATGTAGAGAGCGCACATCGTCACATAAACGGCGAAGGCGACAAATACAAAGTAGTCAGAGGCTGTCAGCCTTCTCGGCCGGATGACGTTGAGACCAATCCTCGCAAGGACAACTGAGCTTGTCAAGCCAAGCATAGAGTATGCGACCTTTAGCACTGTTCCCTGGGCGAAACCGTTCGTTTTTGCCGACATCGTTGCTGATATGGTGTGAACCGGAAGTAAACAAAGACAACAAAGATACAATGGAGAGTATCGGTCATTGATTGTCGGAGCAAGCTCCGAGACGTGATAGTTATTCGATATCATTGTCGTGTCAGTGCATGCGAGCATGCGGCGTAAGACCACCCTCAGGTTTCGTAACTACCGGCAGAGGGGATCACATTGACCAAAGGGCCATGACCAATTTCCAGCACCGGATCTACAATCGCTGATTGCTTGACCGTAGTCAGGGGTAGGCAGGGCTATCCAAGATCTTGCTGTTGTAAATTTAGTATACCTCCCTCGAACTTGCTCTTGCATGTTGACAGCAGCGTGGACTTGTCCATGACCGAGTTAATAAGGTTGGTCAATTCTGGAAGAACGACGCAGAGTAAGAGCCATACACCAAAGATACACGTTCCCCTCCTGTACAAGAGTAGGATAAAATGGATAGCGCACAAGACTCTCCGTGGATGAAGAGTGGCACTGGAGATGTCGCTTGCGCCTACCGAATTCCGTGCCGTCGCTGTTCTACTCGCCTGCCTCCGGAGCATAAAACGCTCCTATGACACTGCGGTTCGTTTCGCTTGCGGCAGATCAAGATGCAGGTGTTATCGGGTAGAGCAATCCCTTTGCCAAGACAATGGATGAGTTGACGCGGAGTGGCGTGCAGGTGCCACTAGGCACAGTGTTGGAGGGCGCGGCGCGATCTAGCGCTTATTCAGCATCCGTGCGGCCCACTCTCCCCGAAACAAGGGCGTGATGGGCTGGAAGGGTCGCCCTTCAACTTTCATCTGGCCTAGAATGTACTACCCACCTTCTTTCGATAGGCACGCTACCTGTGCGCAACAATCAGAGCGACAGGTCGGATTGAAGCCGGCGATTTGAGCACCAATTACCTAGGACGCGTGGAGGGTGCTTCATCTACCACATTGCATCTCGCTTCCATTCATGCTTAACTAGGTACAGACACCAAGGACTCCATCGCGTACGCGAGAATGGACTCGCATCTGCGTGTTCCATCGCACAAGCTCCTGCACATGCGCGTACCTGCACGCGACTCTTCTTGAGCCAATGCTCCGAGATTGAAGTATGCTCATTCGCCTCAGGCAGCGCCACCTCTTCGATGCAGGTTCCACGGCAGAACCGAATTGCGGCGCGGTATGCGGCTAAGCATCGTTTCCATACTGCGGCGCTTCTAGACAACAAATTATGATCCTTCGGATTCCCTAGAAGTCGCAAAGCGCAAGGAGACGTCTGCCCAGGTAAGATTGCTAAACGACGCGCAGAATCAATGTCTTTCCAGCAATAAATAGCTCTGGAAAGCTCCAGCTTCTTTCCACCGAACCTCCAATCCAAGCCCAACATGAAGGCTTCGTTCCTTGCCATATCTGGAGCCCTCGCTGGCAACGCAGTCGCCCAGGACGCCTTCGAGCCTACTGACTTCAACGTCACGGAAGCCCTCTTCGCCAATGGCGTCAATGTCTCTGCTCTTCCCGACTTGGCTGCTTTGGTCGAGAAGCGCTCACTCTCTAGTCCGTGTACCGCCGCTGTAAGGAACCTGTAACGCCATTTTTGTAGGAGACTCCAGCTAACATGCTCAACAGTGTAGCTCACTAAAGCTCATCTTCGGAAGCAAGCTACTTTCTAGCGGTTCAGAATCCTACGATACCTTCACGAGCGGATACTGGTCCAACCAGGCAGCCTCTGTCAACCCAGCCTGCGTTTTCCGGCCTTCGAAGGCGATCGACGTATCGACGACGATATTAGTATCCCGTCTCACACAATGTCCCTTTGCAGTCAAGGGTGGAGGACACACCGCGTTCCCGGGCGCGTCTAGCATTGAGGGTGGCATAACCATTACCATGGAGGCGATGAACGAGATCACACTTTCCAGCAACAAAAAGACTGCATTCATCGGACCCGGAAACCGATGGGGGGCGGTATATACAAAGCTTGGAGAGCACAGCCTCGCTGTCGTTGGTGGGCGCGCATCGGATGTAGGCCTCGGTCTTGTTCTTGGTGGCGGCATCTCCCACCAGTCTAGTATCTACGGATACGCATGCGATAATGTTGCGTCTTACGAGGTTGTAACTGCATCGGGAATCATCTTGAAGGTCACGCCAACTCTGTTCCCTGATTTGTATTGGGCCCTTCGCGGAGGCGGCAACAACTTCGGTGTCGTTACAAGATTTGAGCTGGAGACAATTCCCCAGGGGTTGATGTGGGGCGGCACCCGAGTTCATACGCAGGCCAGCTACCCAGCGCTAATCGATGCCTTTGCATCAATGGCTGAGGGCGCTACCGAAGACCCCAAATCAGCCCAGATCTTGTCATTTGCTGTGACAGCGGGCAACGCGGCGGCCCAAATTCAACTGGAGTACCTCGAGCCCGTTGACGAAACCAACCCACCTGCTATTCTTAAGAAGTACCTTGACATCCCTCCACTCATGGCGAATACTTTGAACAGAACCTTGGCAAACGATACGGTCATGCTCACCAACCAAATGCCCGGAGGCCGTCGCTATGCATTCTGGGCAGCCACATACAAGCTCGATAGGGAGTTCATGGCCTGGCTGCAAGCGCGTCACGAAAAGGACGTAGGCCCGCTAGCGGACCAGGGCGCTCTGGCGTTTCAGGCCTTCACCGTGCCGGCTATGGAGCAGATGAGCAAGAAGGGCGGCAACGCACTTGGTCTCTCCCCGGCCGACGGTCCACTCATGCATACTCTGCTTTACGTGGTCTGGGACGACGCGGCCAAGGATAAACAGCTAAACAAAGCCGCACTGGATTTGATGAACGCCGCCAAGGCTGAGGCGAAAGATCGGAATTTGTACACCGAGTTCATCTACCTCAACTATGCTGGACCGTACCAGAACGTGATTCCGAGCTACGGGGACGAGAAGCTGGCAAAGCTCAAGTCGATTGCGAAGAAGTACGATCCCGCTGCTGTCTTTCAAAAGCTGCAGCCTGGTGGGTTCAAGCTTGAGGGTGCGCCCTACGGGGAGACTATCTAGACGTAAAGCTGCCTCGTAGATTCAATCAATTGCGAAACACCTTGAGCGTACGAATAAGTTTGTGGATTGAAGCGTGATGCGATATATTCGATAGGACGTACACGTGATGTGCGCCCAATACGAACGGCCTTTCGTCCGGGTATTACATTCGCGCTCAGCTGCGACCCATCGCTGTGCTAAGCCATCAATTCTGCAGCATGCCAGCTCGTTATCATCTGCCAAGTTGGGCTATCGTCCAAAGCCAGGCAACTCTTGAGGTCTAATTGGAACACCAGGCAATTCCACCGGCCTTTGCGGGACCGGAGCCTCATGTAGGAAAACATCCTTGGTAGGAGCTTCGTGCCTATACTCTGATGACAATTCTGCTTTGACTGGCTGGTAGTAGGTTGTCGTCTCTGCAGTTTCCTTTTTCTTCTTATATGACCGTCTTCCGATAAAAGCACCCAAAGCAAGCAGCGCGATGACACCGAAAGCAGCACCCACACCAATCCCGGCTTTCGCGCCTGTCGAGAGGCCACCACTGTCGTCATTCGGTGGTGTTGTAGTGGACGATGGGGTTGGAGTGCTCGAGGAACTGGACGAGCTCAATGGAGCCGAGGTGCTTGTAGACGACGCGATCGAAGACATCGAAGAACTCGAGATGATGCCCAGGAACACACGATCGACTTTCTCCTTCCCGAAACTAGCATCGTCGCCACAGCAAGCGGTTGAGTTGCCACAGCACCAGTACTCAGACGAATCGGTACCATCACAGGGAGTGACATTCACGTCTCCACTTCTTTGATTTGGCTGTGTGTCGATGTAAGCTTTCATAAAGTCAAGGTGTAGGGCGCGATCGTACTGTATTCGTACATAGTTCCTGGCAGCCTCCGGCCTCCCAGTCCGACAATGTACAGGACTCTCTAAAATAGATGAAGTCATTGTCTCCAGTGCTAGCCCTGCAGAGACCGTTCGGAAGACAGGTGTCCCAGCCCCCCTCGTTATTGACCACGTTAATGTTGCAACAGATGTGGCTAAGTGGGTCTGAAGTGTCATTGGAGCAGGGCTGGTACTGGGGATTTGGTTGCCCGCCGTCGCGCCAGTAACATGATTGCGCATAGACTACTGTGATGGAGGAAGAAAGAAGGAGAGCTTTTGAGAACATCCTGTACTAAGGTTGAGATCAGATGGATCTGCAAGGCGGAGGAGCAGGCGCATGGCCATCCTAGTGCGAGGGGGGACTGAGGTTAGTTATAACGGGATTGCCGCTGGCAGGTGCTTCTATACTTATTAAGTTAGTTGGTGGAGGATCTTTGGGGCCAGGCGTTTATCTCATCTTAGAGCCTGTCGTGGCTGTGTAACGCGTGCGGTGAGTGGTTGCCAAGCGATAGGGCGAAACCTGGGCAATTTGGGGGCGGAAAACCCGCGTTGGCGGCTCCAAAAAAAAACGGTCTTTTTGACAAAAACATACAACAGCGCGTATTCCCCGGTGGTCACCCACCCGAGTACTAATGCGCCGGTATCTTGCTTAAGTACCGCTGAGCGAACGGGAAGCGCTGGTGTCAAGATCCTATGGTCGTATGTGACAGATCTGGCTGTTTTCCATATTATAGACTGACTGGGTGCATCGAGATCGCCAAAACGCCGTGGTACAGCCGTAAGATCCATAGCTCGAGAAAACCGTCCGTACCTCAACAGAGCATGTACTTAGAAACTACTCTCCTCGGATCTCTTGCTTCCATTTGAGCCAGGGCTTCGCCGTGCATGTACCCGTCGATATAGACGTCACCCACGTACCTATACTCGTTGCGACGGCCCTCCGGGCGGAGCAGGATAGGTGTGGAACAACCAAACGGAACGACAACAACATCTTCTGCTTTCATGTAGCCCGAACCCATACCAATCAAGCCGCCTTCTGTAATACACAGGCTACGTCCCATCATACGGTTACCGAGATGGTCTTGCAAGAACGTGCGCCGTAGTTTGGGCTCAATGAGCCCCGTTGTGCTCACGTGACGTTCAAGGTCTTTGTCCAGTGGTAGGCGAGGCATTCTTTCGCGAATAAGAGCTGCGAAGACGTGGTAACAGAGGCCGTGCCACATGCCTGACTGGCTCCATTCTAGCGGCACTTGTCCAAGACATAGCGTCCTACAGAAAGAGCTGTGAATTGGATCGGTATCATTGCCTTCTCCCACATTTAGTTCATGCAGCAGCATTGCGCGCCATTGTAGAAAGGCTGTCAGGTAGTCTTGAGCAGAACAGAACGTGCCTACAGCAACACCTGTTGCTATGATTGTGTCGATCCTGATTGCGGAGATTTCGAGCTTTCGCCGTTCATCGTGAAACCAATACTGAGCCTTAGTAGGGCCATTTACGTTACTGGAAGCTGCAAAGTTGAGAGTACGCCCGAGGCCAGGCACCTCTGGGATGTGCGACCAATCAGGGCACCAGCTGGGGAGACCTGTAGAATTGACGTGCAGGGGGAAGTGTATTGCTTCGCGGATCACATCGAGCTTTTCAGTAGTCGAGATCAGGTGGTCGACCACATCTGTGTAGACCGTCTTGACTGACTGACTGTAGTCGACTGGGAAAACGCGTTGTGTAGCGTCCGAAAGCAGACCCAGAATGCCGAAAACTTTGTCGCGGGGATTCTCGCTCAGCTTCTTCCTGCATGCTCGCATTACCTCTAATAGTGACTCATCTCCAATTTGCTCTAGGGTTTCGCGGTCTGGGAAGCTGGTTGGTCCTTGGCGGTTATGCGGGTCGCTCTCTTGGTCCCAGAAGATTTCCCCGGCCTTCAAGTATATTTCCCAGGGAAACACTGAATGCCCGCAATATACCAACTTGTTATGCCCGAGAAGCACCTCTTGAACGACTTAATCCTGGTCAGTACGAATCATTGACATATTGCAGCGTGGCTAGTTACCCCATAGCCGCTTCCAGTAATCTCTCTTGAATAAATTCAAGAGCGCCAGAGAGTCTGGGTTGCGGGTGGACCTGATATGTTGCGAGTCGATCGAATTTTCAGCCACACTGTGCAGTAGTTCTAGTGCCAATGCACTCTCATCATGCTCCGGTCCTATCCAAATGGCTACTGACACTGCACCGCTGTAGATCTGACCCATCAATCGAACTTGTGTAGCTCTCTCGTCTCTGTTCTGCTGGTCGATGCAGAGCGCATCAACCCATACAAAGATGTCTTCTTTCTTGCGACGGACCGCCCTCAGCGCATCGTAAAGACTGACAGCAACAGGTATTGCAGCCCCCTCTACGATGAGGGATGTCGTGTCAATCCCGTCGCCCCAAGCATACTTTGCAAGCTCGATGTTAGTGGATGTTGCCAGACTGTGGCAATGACTTACCGAGATAGCAGTGTACTCTGGCAGGCTTTGAAGCGATGTGTGAGTGATTTCACATCTTAGCTTCGACATCGTCTCAGGTAGGATCTTGACTAATCGAATTTCAGCAGGCTGTAGTGACTGATACTGGTATGTTTTCGGGCCCAGTATTCCGGAGCTAGGTGACGATGAGGCCCACGACCGGATCCTTGACGAGGGAGTTGAAGCTGCTGAAGCCGCTCGAGGTCTGTGCCAATCTTCGCCTACTCCTGATTTTGATTCGCCAGGAATCTCAGCATTGGGCCGGATTTGTGAATATGCGATAGGATATGGGGAGATAGAAAGGCGTGGGAGCTTTGCATTCACGTTGAAAGCCCGATTGTGACCTGATGAAGACGGACGACTGTCAAGTTCATCTAGCCGAATGCGCGCCTGAGAAGTAGAGACTGAGGGGGGAATCGATGAACCAGATAACGTTTGTTTTGGTGCAGGATTATGGCGGCGCTCATCCAAGAAATCATCAAAACGGTGCTCGCCGCAACGTTCTTTGGTCGAGCGAGTTCTCTCGCGCTCAACTTCGATTATTACCGGCACCGAATCATCTTCGGTATCGCTAGATGAGTCTTGTTTGCGGCGGTCGTGATCCTTTGGGTGGTGCGAAGAGCTGGCGCGATGTCGATTTTTGTCTCCGTCATGCCTATGTCGGCGCCTTGGTTCATCATCGGAACGATACCCTCGGATCGGTGGATCGTGTGTTCTCCCATTGTCACCCGAAGAAGTCTTGTGCCGCCTTCTGCGGGTTCGATCTGCGTCGGCATCCTGGGGTGTAAGGTGGTGACCATGGTGGCGTTTCGAGTCGCGTTGTAGGCCAAACATCTCACTGGTGTGCGAAACAGCTGTATTGCGAAGCACAGGTATATTGATGTAGTCGTGTACTTATCCTAGGATCTGAGTAGTTATGGAGTATGAGTTTTGGATGGCATCAGGCTGAGCCTAGATAATGCGCGAACTGATGCCTTGGTGGGGTGATGAGTGCCACGGCTGCTCAGCCTCCGCTCATCAGCCATTGTCAGCTCGCTTCAGCTGGCAGGGATTCGATTGCATGGCCTGGCGGGTATCTAGGTATACATTTGGACATAATGAGAACCATTGAGCTCTACCAGCCTCACAATGCTGGTGCAGTGTTAAGGTGCACATTGGCGTTTGCGAGGAAGTCGCGATTACGAGTAGAAGTGGCGTGTTCTGCTGCCCAGAGTTATTTGGCCCATGGCTGCGCACCTGGGCAATGTTCAAGACTGCGCTCGTGGAGATATGTAGCTTAGAGAGCAGGAGATGTCGCGCGGACAGGAGCGCCTATTGTATGTTCTTGAGCGGCCCTTCTCCTACTACCGCTACCGTCCATGCGCAATGTGGGTCTGGCTGCGTCGTCATCGGCCCGCCGAATCGCCTGCGACCATCGCCGCGCCTCTCGCATGTCCCCTTATCGATAAGTGACGATTTCAAAACATCCATGGACACCTACAATACTCGCCATTACCTTTCATGCCGACTCACACCTTCGCACTCGGGTGTAATGCGCGTCTCTCTGCCACGTTTCCCAATTGTGCACCAATTGCCGCGCCTTGGCCCCGCACTTTCGCGTACGCTCCTCAATCCAGCCTAGTCCGAGATCCTCCAGGAACGGTCAACAAAAGAACCGCCGCGACTGCGAGCGGAAACAACCCAACTCACAAGGATTCGTGAGTGGTAACATGATGTACGTAGCGCGATTGCTCCGACAACTCCGATAATAGTGGAGTTGAAACAGCCCTCATGGTAACCTCGCAAATGCCTCGCCTCGCGATCCATCCCCGAAGCGATATAGGCATGGTAAACTAGGCGTTCTAGCTGGGTATACGCTCTTGTATAATCGATACATTCGGGAAGCCCTCGGTGGTGGCGTCCGGCTGGAATGCTGGCTTATGCATTCTACCGAGAAGCCCCGTGGAATGCACGCTCGTGGCAGTTAGAGCCAACAGGGCATTTAAATGAACTTATCGCTCCTTCCAACGGTCTTGGGTTGATGACTGAATTAGCGATATAAGAAGGTACCATTCACTCCTCGATACCTCCAGTCCATCTTCATCACCACATACAAACACATACACATTCTTTACCATCTACAACTCCTTCATCTTGTACCAAAGCAGTATCAACATTTCTCGCGCTGCGAAAACCTCCAAGATGGTGCTCCCCTACTTCACCGCCCTCGTCTTCGGCACCATGCTCCCGGGCCTCAACCTAACTCAATACGCCGACCACTACGACAACGTCCACATCCCACTCGTCAAGTCGCTCACGGGCTCAAGCTTCCCCGTCATCCACACACGATACTACGTTGGCGGTAACCCTGCCTTTGTAAACGCCAGCTCCCCCGTCGACTACGACTCCATGGCGACCATGCAGTTTCGAGACATGACGCATGCGTTGACCTTCATGAGCATCATCAGCGCACCGGAGGCGGCGAAGAAGATTGCAGAGGACGAGCATTTGTTTATGGCGAGTGCACCGAGGACGGTGATTGTGGGGACGGATGGGAGTGTGACAGGGCCGTA